GGGCAGAAAAAGCAAATCAATCTAATCAGAACATACAGTGTTTAAAAACTTGGTTTGGGGGCTGGGGTTTTAGCTCAGCAGCACAGCGCCTGCCTGGCAAGCGGCGGGTCGTGAGTTCGATTCCCAGTACAGGAAAAAAAAAAAAGAACTTGGTTTGGCATGCTCAAATTGGAGAGTACTATATATTTTAAATTTACAAAAGGAATGATTTGAGCGGCAACAAATAACACTACTAAGAAGGTCTAAGGTTTAAACAGACCACAGCACACCAGCTATTACACAGCAGTCATTAATATCTCTTATTAGATAATAAACAAAATTTACATTAGCAAATGCAATCTTCTAAGAAGCCCTTAAGATCCGATTATTTTATCTGAGGATTTTTTTGTTTTTTTCCAGTACCGGGAATTGAACTCAGGACCTCGCGCTTACCAGGCAGGCACTGTGCCGCTGAGCTAAATCCCCAGCCCCTTGATTATATCTGATAAAAAATAAAAGTATCAACTGTATTAGGGCATCATAGCCTACCACAGCACACTGGTCCTGTTTTCAACAACTAGCACACTCTGAAGGGTCCCTAGTTGTCGTCAGCAGCTAAAAGTCCTAATAGTAAACAGGTCTTTATGGCCAAATAATAAAAGTTAATCACAAGTGTCAAGACAGAAGTGACTTAGATGCTCAAATGACTCAAGACTGTGTTTAAATAATCAAAGATTGAAGCAAAGATAATAAGTGTTCCTGCCAGGGCATGGTGGCACATGCCTGTAATTCCAGTCCAGAGGCTGAGGCAGGAGGACTACCAGAATTTGAGGTCAGCCTAGAATATCTAGAGTTCAAGATTATCCTTAAGCAGGTAGCAAGACCACGTCTTAAGAAACTAAAATATATTTTATACATATACATATATATAATATATATATATACACACATGGAGAGAGACAAAGAAAGAGAGAAAGAGGGGGGGAGGAATGAGCTCCTGACATAAAGACCTTTGAAAGGAATTAAAAGGAATTTTCAACAGAGAAATAAAAATTCCAAAAAACAGAGAAACAATATTAGAAATCAAAAGTAAATGAAATTTTACTAGATTGGCTCAAGAACAGAATAGAGATGACAGAGGAGAGAATCAGTGGACTAGATGAATCAGCGTCACATCTGAAAAACAAGGGTGAAAAATGAACACAGGGGCTGGGGATTTAGCTCAGCGGCAAAAGCGCCTGCCTGGCAAGCGCAAGGTCGTGAGTTCGGTTCCTGGTACAGGAGAAAAACCAAAAAAAAAAAAAAAAAAAAAAAAAAAAAACAAGAAAAATGAACACAGCTTCAAGAAACAATGGGATTATAACGAAAGGTCTAACATATGCGTATGTAACTGGGGTCTGAGAAAGGGGAAAAAATTGGGAGGCACAACAAAAATTTTTTTCTCAAGATTCAATAATTAGAAATAGCTCCCAATCTGGTAAAGGATACAGAAAAACATTAAAGAAGCTTGGCAAATCTTGTATTCAATAAACTTCAAGAAAACCAGATATAAACATAAGATAAATCTAACAGGTAGAAATCAAAATAAAAGGAAAAAAAACTGATAGCAGATAGGGTAAAAAAATCATCATACATATTAACAATCACCATGGATTTCTTATCAAAGATCAGAAGGCAAAATACAGAACATCTTTAAAGCTCTAGAAAAAAAGAAGTATAAACCAAAACTTGACATCAGGCAAAAACATCCTGAAACAAGGGCTAAGGAAAAAAAAAGGATGTTCTTGGATAAAGTGAGACTACGAACTAAGAGATGCATGTCATCTCCAGAAGACCTGTGCAACAAGGTTTTTCATGTTGAAAGGAAATGCACAAAGAAAAACCTGGATCTTTATGAATAAACACAAAGAGGTCAGGGATTTTGCTCACTGGCACAGCACATGCCCAGGAAGCATGAGGTCCTGAGTTCAAGTCTCAATACTTTAAAAAAGAAGAAGAAAGAAGAGAACAACAGAAATGGTAAATATAAAAGATAGTTTCCCTTTTATATTCTTTAAAATAAGTATGAGGCTGAGGCAAGAGGATCACTGTGAGTTCAAAGCTAGCCTGGGCTACAAAATGAGTTCAAGACCAGCCTAAATTGCAGTGAGACCCTGTCTCAAAAAGACAAAAATAAAACAAAATAAAATGAGTATGAAACCCCGTAACACTGACTGGTGGAGTTTTCATGTACGTAGTAGTCATACATACAAGTGCAACATAAAATCGTAAGGTAGAGGTTTAAGAAGTACCTATCTGAAAGCAAGGTTTGCACACTTCACTTGAAGTGGGACACTATTAACTGTAAAGAGACCACGGAGGCTAGGTATGCGTATTGTAACCACTAAAAAAAAAAAAAGAACTTAAAAAAAAAAGGACACAGACACCCCAAAACACAGATTAAATAAAATGCTAAAAAATTACACAGAACATAGTAAAGAGAATAAAATGTAGAGAAGACAAGTAAAACAGTATACCTAAATCAAATCATATAAAAAAATTAGATGTTAGTAGTTTCAATACTCCAGTTAAAAACTCAAGAAGCAACGAAATATACAAAACCTAAGAAAGCCATCTGTAAGTTTAAATATGCCATCTTTTAAGAAAAGGTGAAAATACTGGAAAAGATACACTAGAAAGTATGAATGGCTGCTTTTAATAGCCGATAATCCTCAAAACAAAGACTATAATGAAAAATAAAGTTTATTTCATAATGATAAAAAGGACAATTATTCATCAGGAAGACATACCATGACAAAATGTGCATAAGCCTATTAACAGAACCTCAAAATAGAACAAGAATGGTTCAAATTAAAAAGGAAAATAATTCTACAATTATAGTGGGTTAACACCACTCTCTAAGAACTGACAAACTGAGACTAAAATAAAATATATCCTGACAAAAAATGCCCTAAATGAAACTTAAAAGAGCAGTTATATAATCATACAACATACACTCTCTTCCTGTAAAGTTACTGCACCAGTAAATTAATATTATCTAGAGAAACCCTAAATACTTGGAAATAAACAGATTTCTAAATCTGTTTTGTCAAAGACAAAAACGTAAAATTTAAATATGAATTGAATGACAACAAAATACAAAGTATCAAAATTTGTGGGATGTCTCTAGTGTTGCAAAATAAATTTGTGGGGCTTTAAATGCAAATATTAGAGGAGAATTTTACTAATAACCTAAGAACTCACCATAAGAAAACAGAAAAAGAATAAACAAAATGCAAAAATTCACATAAAAAGGACTAAGACACCATGACAACATTTATCCCAGAAATACAAAAACAGTTTAATATTCAAAAGTCAGGCCAGGAATATAGCTTAGTGGCATAAGCGCCTGCCTGGCAAGCACAAGGTCCTGAGTTTGATTCCCAGTACAAAAAAAAAAAAAAAAAATTCCAAAGTCAATTAATCTAAATGAAGGAGGGAAAATTAGTTTCAATAGATTCAGCTTGATAATCAATCACAACAAAATACCAGCCAGCAAGAAAAAGCAGAGAACCTGTTCAATCTGACATAAGAGCTACAACAAATCCATTCCTAGTATTATGCCTGAAGATAAAAGGCTGAAGGGAGCGCCATGGACGACAAGAACGAGGCAAAGACGCCGACTCTCACCTCTTCCATTCAGCACTGTACTACAGGTCTTAGCAAGAGGAAGAAAAGTGAAAAGCATAAAAGCTCAGAAAAGAAATAAAATGTTTCTTTTTACAGATGACAAGTGTTTAACAAAGAAAAATTCCAGAAAAATCTAAAAAAAAAAAAAAAACTAAAATAAGTCATTAGCAAGATTCTACAAAGTTCATAAACACAATGTCTACGACTAAATTTAATAAATTATATCCAACTCTACAATGAACATTACTGAAGGAGATTAAAGACCTAAGTAAATGTAAAGATAAATCATGTTCTTGAATTGGGAGACAATACTGTTAACATGCCAAGTCTCTCGAACTAATTTATAGATTCAAGGCAATCTCAACCAAAATTCTTTCGTCACAAAACTATCCTAAACTAATATGTATGATACTGTTTTTTTTTGAAGCTAGAGTCTCGCTATGTTGTTCAGGCTAACCTTGAACTAGCAGTGATCCTCCTGCCTCAGCCTCTCAAGTGTGGGGATTATAGGAATGCACCACCATGCCTGGCACTGTATAGGACAGATTTTGTAGATGAGGAGTGTAGTGATGTCTACAACATTTAACACATCAATAAAATAAGACTAATTCACAGATGCATTGTGGGATGGCTCAGTGATAAAGCAAATGTGCCAAAATGCTAACTACAGAATCTAGGAGATCAATACATTTCACTGCAGAACTGTCTAAATGTTTCCCTGAGTTTCAAATATTCATAATAATATAAAGGGGGAGAGAAGCACTATAGAAACAAAATTTACAGAAATATAGCAGGAAAGAAAAAATTCTGTGCCATTCCTAGTAAACACAAGGGGCTGGGGATTTAGCTCAGCGGCAAAAGCGCTTGCCTGGCAAGCGCAAGGTCGTGAGTTCGGTTCCTGGTACCGGAGAAAAACCAAAAAAAAAAAAAAAAAAGACCCTGTCCTAGTAAACACAAAATCAACTCACATTTAGAGATTAATTTTTTATAAGTTAAAACGTAAAATAGACCAAAGACAAACCATAGCAAAAAGAGGCAGTCATCACTGTACACAATAGTTCATGACTATCAAAATAACAAGTTAAAACTGTGCACTACAATCTTAATCATTAGTGGAAAAAAAAAAACTGTGACCTTTAAAAATATTTATCAAAACAGAAAAATCTCTTTAGCTCCAGAACCCAGAGTTTAATAATCCTGGACAATAAAAAGTTCTTCTAATTTTGATCTCTATTCATTTTTTAAAAATTGTCAAACTAAGGTCATGAAATGTTAGGAAGAGAATTACAATATAGGTTATTACCAAATTTCATGCTTTACATTTAGTTTATCTCCAAAGAAACAACCTGAAGAACAATATTTGAAGATATCAAGAGAAGAGAAGATTTATTTGTAACTTGGCTTAAAGTTAACATGTATTTTAAGAAACAAAATGGTAAGAAATTCAACTTACATTGAGAATACCTTTCTTCATTGATAATTTGAAAGAGAATTTGAACTGCTTATCTTTCAAGCATTCAGATGGAGTGCAAAGGCATTAGGAATATATACTAGCATATCAAGCATGGTAGGGATTCTAAGAGACCAAACCTGAAAGCCATTTTTAAAAAATCAATTTGATCTCACGAAAATACACACACAGAGATTTCTGCTGTGCTGTAGTCTAACCTCAGGGTCTCTTGTATGTTAGACACAAGCTCTATCACCAAGCTGTACCCCAGTCCAAAATATAAAATTTTTACATGACAAGGTAACAAAACAAAAATCAATGGGTTAGCCAGGCGTGGTGGCACATGCCTGTAATCCCAGCACTCAAGAGGCTGAGGCAGCAGGCTTGCTGTGAGTTCGAGGCCAGCCTGGGCTACAAAGTGAGTTCAAAGCCAGCCTGAACTGCATAGTGAGACCCTGGTTCAAAAAAAAGAAAACAATCAATGGGTTGCGAGAAACTATAACACATGTAAAAGTCAGAGGGCCACATACTACTAAGAGGAAAACAAGCCCATTAAAAAGTGAACAAAAACTGCACACAGGCAGTGCACGCCTGATAAACGTAAAGCAGGCGAACCACACCAGCAGTCTGCACAAAGGGTTCCCTTCTTATCAGGCTGTAAAGATTATAAACTATTACTACACTAGTATAAGGAAAAACTGGTAATCTCAGGATGTTGGTGGGAAATGTAACTCTCAATTAAAGCCCTCTAAGCTCTATCTAACGATATTCACCAAAATTTTAAATAGCTAGATTCAACAATTTCATATCTAGACATTAAATCAACAGAAATACTTGGATCTGTTCACTAGCAAATATATACAAAAATACCTCAAGCACTGTAATGCCAGGGGCAGCAAAAACAAAGGAAAACCTAACCATCCAATTATAGAGAAATTTTGCATTTTATGACAGAAAACTATGCTGTCACCAAAATGCAAGATCCGGGCTGGGGATTTAGCTCAGCGGCACAGAGCCTGCCTGGCAAGCACGAGGCTTTGAGTTCAATTCCCGGTACCGGAAAAACAAACAAACAACAACAACAAAAAAAAAAAAAAATAGGAAAACAAAATGCAAGATCCCTGAGACACAACTAGAAAAAAATTGAATAAACTTTTTTTTAGAGTCATTATATAAGGTGTGTGTATAATGCACATACACCCTTATATACATTAAAATACACCCAATGATCTAGAAGACATGCACCAAAGTTTTATATGGGGAGGCTTCATGAAGGTAGTATTCTACAGTTTTTTTTATTTTGGTACTGGGAAGCAAACTCATGACTTCACATGTACCAGGCAGGCATTGTGCCACTGAGCTATATCCCAGGCCCTTACAATTTTTGACTTTTTACATTTCTTTTATATGATACGCCTTTTATGAATCGTCTATTCTTTTCCAATAATACTATAAATTATTAGATATAATTATGAAATATAACAACTGTCTTCCTCTACTCCTAATTTCAATCTAATTGCCTCTTCTGAGCCAAAAAGCTGCTAAAATCTAGTAATGACTACAACCTTGGGCTCTGAGTAGGTCCCAGCACAAAGAACAGGTACTCTCTCTGGGCTGGGCACACAGAGAAGTAGATACCCACAAAAAGAATACGTGGATGCTTCAGAGGAAGGAAGTGCTGACCACTTATGGAACTACCTATTCACTTATGGAAGTATCAGGCATTCCTGACCTATAAAAACCAAATACAAGTGGATCGACATAAAGAAGTTTCACATAGGTACCTTAGCAGACAAATGGTACCTTTCACAAGCCAGGGCTACAGAACCAGAACTGTGTCGCAGTGAGTTAGAAGGGGAAAATACTTACCTAATGATAAGGATATCTCTGTTCCAATAGCCAGAAAAGGGGATCAGTAGAATAACTAAAATATAACCAAATTCAAGATAAATGCTAACAGAGATAGAGGAAACATGGGAAGGAAAAAAGCAGTAACAGCTCTTAAAGAGATCCAACGACAACAAACACACAAAGCAGACTTGTGAAACTTCAGAACAAGACTTTTTAAATAATGACATTCTGGGTAGAACTGAAGAAGACGGTCACTATCAGACTTGAACCTGGTGGCTGGAAGATCAATGAGAAAATAACTCAAAGCAAAGACTGCAGATAGAAATCGTAAGGGAAAAAAGTAAGAGGTTAAGAGAAGACTAGATCTAAGAGATACCTTATTATCCCAGAAAAGAAAAACCAAGAGAAAAGCAGTAATTATATCAACTCTTAAAGAGAAAATTTAGCTGATCTGAAGACAGATTCACATCTGAAAACTGAAGCTTCAAACTGAGGGAGCTTGGAGTTGTTACCAGCTTTTCATGTCCATGCACAGAGAAGCAGTAACTCAGGAATAGTCTTTGACTACAGAGCGCTTCATAACTTTGATTTTAAAACCAGATACCTATTTTCAGTAATTTTTTAAACAAGGTTGTTTATGAAGTCAGTGGAATAATTATATAAGAAACCATCCAATGGTTTCTTATGCCAACAATCTTTAGAACACAACAGTTTGACCATATATCCCTAAAGTGATGTACCCTACACATAAAAACAACCAAAAATAAAAAAGCTTCAACTGTCCTCAGCAATTATATTACTATTAATAGTGTTAGTAATGATAGTCTGCAGTTTATGTGTGAAAAGTACGGATGAGGAATTTTTTTGCAACATTTGAAAAACAGTATTTTAAGCAAAAAAAAAAAAAAAAGATACTTAAGATGATGATATTCAATAAAGATCTTGCAGTAGACCTAAAGAACACCATTAGAAACCCATGATGTACCTTTAAAAGTCTGTGTGTCCTATCTGTGTCTACCAAAAAGGTCTATAACTAATAGCCAACTCAGCAGCAGCACCACCCCCACACGCATTCCACACCTTAACCTACAAATGCCACTTTCCACAACAAGAAATCAGGGCCCCCTGGAGAAAAACGGCTGATTCTAGATCTGAGAGAAGTCTTGTCACAACAGAAAGAAAGATATAAAAGAAAGTATGACAAAAAAGCTCAGGAGTTATCCTTAAGAGAGTCAAAGATGAGACAACTGAGCATCAGTAAATGTAACTATTATGGACACAAGCACACAAAAAATATTTACATCTATCAATACTATTCAAATCAACTCATTATTCTGGAATTTGGAAAATCCTTTTCTGTGCAATCTGTACCTCTAAGTAACCAATTTTAACTGGGAAAAGTGTAAGTATTTTGGTCAATACAAGAAAAGCGAATAACAGAAATACATGACCACTTTCAACAGTTTATTATTTATTTAGGCCAGGGCTTTTCCACCTCACACTACTGAAATTGTTCTTTCCAACCTCAGACAATTTACATTTGGGGTCAAATAATTAATTCTTATACAAAGACGTCCTGTGGATAACAGTATGTTCAGGAGCATCCCTGGCCTCCGTGTACCAGATGCTCTCAGCACTCTACAAAAATGTCTCCAGACATTGCCAGTGCCCACAGGGAGCAAAATTATTCCTGTTTTAAAAGCACTGAAGCAATAAACATCATCAATGACAATTAACATCAGAATTGAAAAAAGACAACTAGAATTTTGAGGGAGTTAGCACTCTTCAAAAAATCAACATCACTATGGCCCCGTGCGGTGGTGCACGCCTGTAATCCCAGCACTCGGGAGGCTGAGGCAGGAGGATCGTTGCAGGTTCGAGGCCAGCGTGGGCTCCAAAGTGAGCTCAAGACCAGCCTGAACTGCAGAGCAAGACCCTGTCTCAAAAAGCCAAAAAAAATAAGTGCTTTTTCCTTCCTACAGGAAAAAAAACATTTAAAAGAAATCAAGTGTGATAAAATAACTGTAAATGGATGAATGAAGCTAAGACATACCATGGAGTGCCAGGAATAGGAGTAGTAGCTACAGGCTTTGCCTTCTGGGCAGCCTTTTCTTCTTCAGTCATCTCCTCTTCTTTGGGCTCCTAAGGGAAATATATTCACATTTAACTAATAAAACAAATGCAAAGGTAAGTTATCACTACAAATACCTCCACGTAAAACCAGCACAAGGTCTGTTGCTAGAATCCGAAGGGGATGCTAGAATCCAAAGGGGAGACCCTAAGTAAAATTTCTAAGAAAATTCTAACTGCTCATACCCCAGAAAGAACTGAGCTCCACAACAGCAGAACCCAGCAGCAACAGCTGGTCCTGCCTTACACACTCACTAGCCATGTGCTTAGGAGCAGAAGAGGAGACCTGTAGTATACAAACTTAGAGACTTCATTTAAGGTTGTTTTTTTGGGGCTGGGGATTTAGCTCAGCGGCAAAAGCGCCTGCCTGGCAAGCACCTGCCTGGCAAGCGCAAGGTCGTGAGTTCGGTTCCCGGTACCGGAGAAAAACCAAAAAAAAAAAAAAAAATTGGTGAAGGTTGTTTTTTTATGTCTGCTAACTGTCCTAGTACAGAACGTGACTTCCATATTTGGCCTTTCACTGAATACACAAAGTTCCCAGACAACGGTGTTTTTAGTCTTTTAGTGTTACAAAGGGATCACTTGAAGCCACAGTGGGGATGAGAGAGAAAATATACCCAACTTCCCCAAACAGGAAGTTACACTTCCAGTTTTAACATACACCAGTCTGTAAGTCAGAGGGCTAAAGACAAAGTAAACTCTGGTCCTAAATCTTTTCTCTACATGGGCCTCAGTTCAATATAAAAAGTAATTTAATGAAAATGTGAAAGGAAAAATTTAATTAGAAACTTCAGAGATCAAATTTATAATAATCATTTTTAAATAAATCAAACAGACACTAAGTTATAAGTAAATTACACCAACCAATGAAGGCTGGCTCCAAGGTGGGCAAGTCACAGCCCTTTACCTCCTTTATTTCCTTCATAGGCTCTTCCTTAGGGTCCTCCTCCTCTGTCTCCATTGGCAGAGGTTCTTCAGAAGGCTCTTTAATTGGCTCTTTAATCTTCTCTTCTAATTTTTCTGTTAAGAAATTAAGATACTATCAAAGGTCCTGATGTAATTTTTAAAGGACTTTGAGGAAAGAAGCAGTTGAGAAATTCTTTTTCTAGTTGTAAACCCCTAAAGATAAAATACCCTTCTCTGTTATATCATCAATTTGAATTTGATGTAGTAATAAGGAAACTTTAAAGACCTACTGACCTCAAGGAACATAAATACCTCAAATCATACATCATTTGAAACAATCACACATTCTGCTGAAAGAAGATACTAAGATATTCAGAAACAGAAACAGAGGATTGTAATATAGAAAATCATGACTTTTATACATCTAAGATTCCAAAGCCTAAATCTTTTATCTTCCCGCCTCAGCCTCCCAAAGTAGCAGGGGTTATACAGGCACACACTACCGTATGTGGCCTAAATTTTTCTTTATGACACATACAACACACACATTCCTTCTTCAGTATTGTCAATCTCAGTAAGAATAATGTAAATATATGCTTCCTGACAATATAAAAATGTATGTGTATATAACAGTTAACTTCTGCAGATGGAAAAAATGGTAAATATGTAAGTACAACTGGGTTTTTATACAAAAACATGTATTAATTTAGTAGAAATAATTTCCCAATTAATGTATTTAGAAAATCACTGAAATATATAAATTAACTCAATATTTAATAGCTTACTATCCTACTTGTAATTCACACTATGTCCCAAGTTATTAAAACAACTATACCTTTTTCCTTTAGTTCTTGGGGTTTTTCCCAGGTTGATTCTAATGTTCTATTATTATAATAATATGTTTTCCCATCAGCTGTTTTATATTCAGTCCATTCAGAAACTGCCGTTGCTCCAGCTAAGGTCGCAGGTGAAGCTGCAAGGGCAACCTGGGGATGTATCATGGGTACAATGGGAGGAGCCATTCCTGGCAATACACCTAAGAAAATAGTGATAAATTAAACCCAAACATTAAATTGCAATGTAAAATGAAACTCTCAAGTATTAGCTAAATCTATTAAACATTAATAATGAATGAACCCACTAAAACCGAAAGTTATATATATATTAAATATTTAAATTTAAATATTACTTAATTCTATTTCCCTAGTTTAGTTCTAATGCCTAAATTTAATCAGACAAAGAAATTCAACCCAAGCAATACATTAAAAATAGTCAGAAGTCTGGGTTTCCTCTATGATGAAGTCTGAACACAAATTACAAATATTATGGTACATTCTCTACTTAAAAATGTAAAAAATTATTATAAAGATACATTCTCAAATTCTGAGGCAATCAACATTTTTTACTGAGGCAAAATCATTATCTATTTCTAAAGCACTTTAAATTCTTAGTTTTAAAGTAAATGACTGTGTGTCTAATTTAAATGATTAAGTCAGTTGTCTCTGTATATCCTTCTCCTAAAAGAAAATAAAGCTTCTTATATTTCTTAAAAGCCAAGCCAAGATTTGTTTTACAAAGTAGTTAAGCTGGTACATATTACACAAAATAAAGTACAATTAAAATGAGTATACAGGACTCTAAAACTGGAAGAACAATTCTTGACTCGAAGTTCCAGTAGTTATTTTATTTCAGTAACTTTATAATATGTAAATGTATACTACACACACAAATATTCACACACATGTACTCACTAGCATGCAAGCATAATCACATCACTTTACACATGGAAATGATTTTTTTATATTTAACTTAAAAACACACATCAAAAATAAAATTAAATGTTATGAATATGAGAATGAAGTTGTTTACACTTATTACATAAATTAAGATAAAAAGTGATCTGACCTTAATTGTTTTTGTGAACCAAAGAAACTAGTACTACAGGCAATTGGGAAAATTAAGTGTTGGCCAAATATGACAACTGCATTTATACTGCTCATTAAAAAGAAAAATATAAAAAAATCCACTCACTTGGGCAAAAAAAATAAATAAAAGGATAAACAACAACATTCACCACCATGCCAACTTACAGACAAAACAAACTAAGATGGATTTAAAATTACCGGTCTTGGTGGTAGCGACTGTCTTTACATACGGGCAGCTGACTATTTGCATCATTGCTACACCTGTAAAATGGATAAGCAAGCACAGGTTGGAAAGCTGCCACTGTATGTCAGCTACCACTGGGGTTCAGGGAAATAATTTACCACTACAATTTAGAGTGTTGTTTCCAATGAAAAAGACCAAGTAGGGAATAAAATTTCTTTTTGTTTGACATATTGTGGGAATTGGTGTCAAACCTATGATACTAATTCTAAATTATAACATCAATTACATACCAGCCCTGAAAATATCTGAAGGAGTCTCAGTTTAAAATCAACAAAAGAAAGCCCCTTCATTACACATATGTAACAAATTCTCATATGGGACTTTTCCCACAGGACATCAAATCCTCTTGCTATTGCTTAGACGCCAGTGAAAGGCAGATGTAATAGCTCTATGCTGCTGCTAGGTTGAAACTATATGTAGGACCAGAGGCACATAGCACAACTGTGGAGATACAGGTAAGATAGACAGAGGGGTAGGAGAGATAGATAACAGGGTATGAAATGGATCCAAATTTTCCACTGAAAATACAGTGTAAAAGTATAAAGTGTAAAGTGTAAAGCAAAGATGAAGACCAGTATTCAACCAAGGACAAAATACCCACATTTAGAGCCAGCCTGCTTTATGGAACACTACAGAGGCAGGCTGAAACTAATAAACATCCAGCCCCTTGAATATCATGACTGACTTTATGGGCGGATGGTTGCAGACACCTCTGTCACCTAGGCTGAGGAAGTAGCACTGTACTGAAGAAGGGATATAATATACAGTTCTAACAAGAATGAAGGCTCATCATGATGCATTACCGTGGTGATAAGGGATTGAAAGGAAAAGATGGAAACTAAGACTAAGGAAACTCAAACTGAGTATGAATTTCACATTTTTTTTTTTAAAGAAAAACAATAAAGGCTGAGGAGAGTAGAGGGGAAATAATTTTTATTTTTCAACTGGGAAAACTAACTTAATTTGGTACTCACAATAATTAAAAATAATAATCAACTACTTTCCCCATATAAAGGACAGGAAAAGAAATCTCTCCTAATTCAGAGACTAAGATTAAAGTTAAGACCCCTGGGTTTGTGAATAATTTAACTATGTTCACACACACACACACACAAATATTGCCATTTGAAAAGTGCTTTTAATTTCTTGCTTTTTATTTATATAAAGAAAATAAGAGCTAACCTTTCTATTAAACTAAAAAAAACACTGGATCGTAAAAGTATGGTGAATAAAATTATACAAATATAGCATTATTTTTCCTAATATTGAAAGAAAGCAAGAGAAAAATTCATTTTAACAAAATCACAGTATGAATTTAGTTTAAGTTAGTATAGATACTGCCATCTGCAGGACTCCCAAAGTTACAAAACCAGCACTAGATATTCAATCCTTGGGACAAATGAACTTTATTCTGAAAAGCTGTTCTCCAAAACTACCCTCCCTAAAAAATTTTTAGGAATATACCTTAGAGGAAAATCAAATATATTCACATTTAGACTTAACTGCAATTGTTAAAAATCAACTGGGCCAACACAGAACTCTTTATTTGATTATCAACATACAGACCATGTTTCTTCTCATGCTAAAAAGATGAACTCCAAGCATTCTCTCCTGAGATTACGCGCACGTCATGAATATTCACAAATATCCACATATCTAAACTGCTAACCACATTTTTAAAAAGGGAGTATTTGTCCAACTTTCCTACAACTGTCCTCAAATTATGTCCAATTAGGAAATTAGAAAATTTCATTCAGCATTTTGCTTAATTCAGATGTCCAAGAAAGATTTTGTTTTAGAAGTAGAAGTCCTATAATCCTAATGTAATTATCATCCCGTAACTCTACAATTTACTTCTATATTTCACCTAATTCTTCCACTCCGCATCATCTTGTTTGATTATCCCTTACTCATCCTAAGCACCACATAGTGCCATTCAAAAAGAATTTAAAATTCCAAAATAAATCACACACAAATTCCTCCTGCTGCCGGGCGTAGTGGCGCATGCCTGTAATCCCAGCACTCAGGAGGCTGAGGCAGGAGGATCACTGCGAGTTCAAGGCCAGCCTGGACTACAAAGTGAGCTCAAGGTCAGCCTGAACTGCACAGCGAGACCCTGTCTCAAAAAGACAAAAAAAAAAAAAAAAATTCCTCCTGTTATCTTAACGCTGAGTTGAAATGAGGAGCGAAAAATAAAGATAAATCTCACTGTACATAAAACCAAAGATTCGGGGAAAAGTCTTCTTTGCTTTTTTACTAAAACACTCTGCAGGACTGAATTATAAGAAAAAATGAGAAAAATATTAACAACAAAAGCGCCTTAATATAAAATATATTAATACAATTTTATAAGACACTAGCTCCCTCTTCAAAGAATCGTCTTATCTTGGGAAAATCCTTCAAACTACCCAATTCAAGATCTCTTCCAGTTAACTGCAAAATGTCATTAGCAGCTGCCATTTATTAAATGCCTTTTATTACCAAATTTCACATGTACCATCTCAACTTGGTGACCCAAATGGTCACCACCATCTGTCCTGAATTTAATGACAGGGCTGGGGTCCAGGAAAAACATATGACATCAAAATGCGGCTACAGCTGGAGGGATTTTATCGCGACAAAGTTCCACATGTCACAAAAATGAACTTTACTATTGTACACCTTTCATGCTATGGTCCTAGTAAGAACCTTTGGAGTCTGAGCAAAGCAGAAGTCCTTTAGGTGACACCCGTTCAGAACACAACAGCATCACCACATCACCACCCAGTCTTCCCCCAAGTCTACCGCCCAGCTCCTCACACCACTCAGAATTTAAAACTGTCCCTAACTCTAAAGTGGACCAAGAGTTCAAGAAAAGGTTCTGATAAATGTCAAGCTCTTCTCCATTTATCATTCGGTTTCCTACAAAAAACTTTTATCTAGAAGGTATTCAGTTACTTTTCTTAAATGTAACAGAAAAGGGGTAATTCCAAGTATTAGAGAAATCATTTGTCATTTCTTTTTGTTTTTTTTGTTTTTTTTTTTTTGGTTTTTCTCCGGTACCGGGAACCGAACTCACGACCTTGCGCTTGCCAGGCAGGCGCTTTTGCCGCTGAGCTAAATCCCCAGCCCCCATTTGTCATTTCTTAAATGATGAACTTTTTGTATAATGGCACATGTGCTTATCTAATACTACATCAACAATGTATAAAAGGTTTTATGTTAAATACACTGGTGTACTACAACTCTATTTTTACACTAAAACTAGTACAATAAAGTGGCTATAATAGGAGAAGGAATATGAAATTGAGAAACAGAGGCCTACATTCTATTCATCCTTCCTATGAACTAGCCCTACAAACTTGACCTATTTAAGGTTATCGATAGTTCAAGGGCAACACGAACAATGAATCATGGGTCAAGGATTAAATAAATGCACTTGACAACATCAAATGTCCTCAAATTAGAATGCTCAACACAAGCACTATGTAATCCCTATAGGAAGAACTCTACTCTCCAATTTTTTAATTCCTTCTCTAGTCTTAATGATTTCTCCTAAGACAATAAAACACAATTGCACTGCAATATAAACCTTTAAATGATGCATGTCACACTTGTCAAATGTTATAAGGGCAACTTCTCAATTTCTTTATAGTTCAGTGACTCACATTTTCTCTCCAGCGCAACATAATCATGAAGAGCTCGGTACGTGGATCTGAAGGGCACAGGGTCAAATCTCAACACCATCACTTATTAGCTGTGTGACCTTGGGCAAATAATTTAACCTATCTGTGTACCTACCTCATAAGATGACTGTGAAAATTAAAGAGAGTAATGCACATAAAGTGCCTACAACGGTGTACTATCTATAAATCAGGCAACGTGGGTTAGCTATTGTAACTTGTAATTTCTCAACTTCACAAAATCAATCTAAAAATACTGCACTGAGAACATATTTACATGAAAAGATGATCATTTTTAATTCACTTGAGGCTACTATCCAAAATAAGTGTAGCTATAAATGTGATTAAAGACATGTAAACAACAAAAAAGGACATTTACCATAACTTAAAAGAGAAAATATTGCAGTTAGCCATGAATCTTTCAAAAACATTTCAAACAGGTGAGATTCAAGGCAAATTTCAAATGCAACAGACACATGAGAACAAACTAACTGACAATATGAAAACAGAGCTGGAAAGACTATTACAATTTGTTGGTTTACCTGGAAGTGGAATTGGCATGCCAGGAAGGGGAACACGAAACGGAGGTACCATTACTGGTGGAAAAGCAGGTATTGCTGCTGCTGGCTGAGGTACTGAATGAGGAACGGCAGGAGGTAACGTCTGGGGGTGCGGCTGGGGGACGGTTTGCACAGGTGTGGCTGTAGGAGCAGGAGTTGAAACACTAACTGTAGGCGTGGCAACTGAAACAGCAGAACTTGGGGTCTGATCTTGTGTTGTGGGTGCTGGTAAAAATAAAACAAAAACTTGCATCACTCTTTCATAAACGGTTTTACTTCATTCATCATTCACTCATTCAGTAAGTATTTAAAAGGCCCATTCCATGCACTGTAAGTACTCTGTCAAAAAGTCTATCTTCAAGAAGCCTGAAAAGTCAATTAAATGAAATAGAGAAAAATAACTGAAATACAAAGTGAAATGAGATAATATAGGTGTATAAATCAAGACCCAAAGATGACTTCTAACTGTGGCAAGAGCATAGAAAATTCTACAATGGGATGATGAACCTTGGAAGATTTCATATTTCAACAAGGAAAAGGGGGCGTGGAAGGAGAAAATACAGCAAGTGGTGGGAAAAGTATAAAGAAAGCCAAAGAGTAGAGAGCAAAACAGGATTAAGTGTAAGTAAGGAAAACTGAAGGAAGTTAACTAATGAAACAAGGGCACACTGAGAAAACCAGTGAGTCGGGGAAGAATGGCAGGCCACAGGAAGAAGGAAGGAGGCAGAAAGCCCTCAACACAAGGTTAGGAATTATGTACTTTATTGGGTAAGGAAAGAGCAAACACTATGTAAAAAAAAATAATAATAATAAAAATGACCTAAAAAATTCACTGCAACTTATATCAATGGCAATTACCTCTGCACAGTACATGGCTTTCACTTTTTGCTAGACATACAGTATATGCTGTTAGAAACTGATGTTTTTATGTGTTCATGTTTGTGTGTGACTTCATGAATGTATGAAGAAGGCAGGCTAAATGGTTCCATATGGAAGAAGAATAACCAATGTGTACTTGATGAATGAACCTGGCAGATGCACAGGAAGAAAAGAACAAAGGTGAGAAAATCAATTGTAACGTTAGAGTTGTCCAAGCAAGGAAGAACAGAGCCAAGAAGATACACAAAGAACATACTGACTAAATATAAAGGAATGGAGTCAAAAACAATTCCTTTAAGTTCAGGTTTGACTTGGGGCAGCAGGTCAGTGGTAGTGCTTGCCTCCCATAGGCAAAACCCTGAGTTCAATCCTCAGAACAAAGTAAATAAAAATAAATGAAAGTGCAGGTTTTGACTGTGAAACTCAGAGAATGTAGAATTCAGGATAATGGGTTCTTCTAATATATTGTTTTTAAATTGTTAAAAGTAATACATTTTATCCCTAAAAAAAAATCAAACAGGCCAAAAAAAATCCATATTTCACTTTTTAGAAAGTGTCAGTTCTCACATATTACAAAATATTTTTGTTATTTATTCCTAATTCATCTAACTTCAAAATAAAATTCATTGTGATATTTTCTTTTACTAGGTAACTCATCTTTTTCTTGATGTAAAGAAAAGCATCAAACTCTACCTATTTTGGTCTAACAATGAATTTGTTAAATGAAATAAAAAGTGTTTTCCCAGTCTTTATGCTACTCTAATTTTAAGCAAAAGCAAAAGCACACTGTTTAACTCAAACCACCCAATAATCCAACTGACAACAAAATCTGTCAGTATTTTTTCTAGCTTCTAAAAATGAAAAACTCACTTAGGTTGGGAAGATGTGAGCAATTTCGTACTTGTTAATGAGGGACTCACCTTGGCTAAATAGACAGCAGGGCCAACAAGTATCTTCAGGGGCCCAGGAATGAATTGTTGGTCTAGCATAGACCTAGCCTTAGGGTACAGTATCATATTAATATAATTTTATAACAGTGTGAAAATACAAATTACATGCAACATTTGCCCAGTCCCATACATATACCACTAAGCATTTATAATCTACTGTAACGGTTGAAAACATAGTTACTCTTCCCAACTTCCCTGAGTAGATTTCATGATCACTTTTTACAAATTTGCATAAAATCAAAGGAGTTTTGCGCAACTGGGATTAAAATACAGATATTCTTAATTTTTAGCCCCACATTCCCATAAATCCATACTGTAGTTCACAGAATTAAATTATTATAATAATATTCAGATGGTTATTAACTTATGTTCCAAAGTACTACTGCTAGTACAATAAAATGTTTATAAGGGGATTAAATTTCAAGTGGAAAACATTGCCAACACCTGTTGTCTAGCACAAGACATTCTACACTTGGTTAGCGGCAATGGGACATAGAGGAAAGGGCTAAGAGTGATTAAAAAAACCGAACAGGCAGGGCACAGTGGCGCATGCCTAATTCCAGCTACTCAGTAAGCTGAGGCAGAAGTATCCAAATTCAAGCCCAGCCTTGACAAATTAGTGAAGCTTTGTCTAAAAAGGAAAAATAAAAAGCTGGCAATGCAACTCAGTTCAAAGGCCCTGGATCTCCAGCACTGCAAAAAATTTTTAAAAAGGAATTAAAGGGCAAGCTACAAGAATGATATCAAAGCTTTAGTGGGTAAATTTCTAATTCCATTTGTTAAAATAACTAGTAAAGCCATGGACCCCAAAATATAGTAACTCAATCTCAGATTTTAATTAAAAGACAAATGACTATACAATAGATGAAAAAATATTAAGACTAGTAAGCATAACACTTTATGATACTCAATTATATAACAGTGAAATAAAAAGACACTGGGAATACTGAGAGACAACATCAAAAATGATGTTTTAAAGCAGTGGGAAGAAAAGGTCTCTCAATCATAAAGTGCAGTGTAAAAAGCTATCACACAACGCAAGATGTCTATAAGCTTACCAACAGACTATACACTGGTGTGCAAATGGGATATATTTACAAAGACTAACACATCACCACAAGCTCCTCACTTAAAACAAAATGAAGTATTATTTCTCCTTCCTAAGAAAGCAGGGAAGAAAATTTAAGCAATAAAACACCCTCACTTGGAATTAAGTTACTTTTAGTAATACCCTTTTCTCATTAGAACCACAGGTAATCCATAAATACTGACTGTTTTCTGCCTTGACACATAGGTTTTGGAAACATGAAGCTAATAAAAAGGTGAAGACCCTCAACCAGTTAGTACAACTATTATAACTCCATGTTCATCTTAGCTACAAGAAAAAAAACCAACTTCTAATGCACTATTTACATTTTTCTGTTTGGTTCATCTCCCCCAAGTAATCTAACAATTAAGCAGGGTCTTTAAAACCTGTCTAGACATGACCTTCTTCAGTTATAATGTCAGTAAAATTCACTTCTTCAGTTATTATGTCAGTAAAATTCAAATCTGAATCATAATTTAATTTCTCGTATACAGTATATACTGTTTATACACTAATAATTCCCAAGTTCCTTTAGCTATGGGGGGGGGGTACCTTTAAAAATTTTTATCCATCATCCAGACAGTAAAATCGTACAAACTACAATCCACAGGAAAAGCTATATTTTATTAGTGCATTATCCTGACAAATGAGTAAATCAGTGAAATCATTATTTAAATACTTTTGGACTCAGCCTCAGCCTGCAGAGTTACATAGGAACACCCCTGCAATTAAATAAATGCATCCCTGCAACCTGCTATTTATAGACTCACTTTTAAAAGAACTTATCTTTGGGCTTCTGTGACATTACATATAAAAATTCTCTTGTCTGACTTCTTTTCAATTCATTTCATCTGCCTACATCATAGGATCTACCACCTCTCAGAGAGATTACTGACAAGTTCCTAAGAAGTCTCCTGACATCAACAGTACCAAACAATTAGCACCAGAAAAAAATCTTCCAAAACTCTGGATTTATACAAGCCCCTGTGTGTTTGTGTCACCCAACTACCTGATTCCTAAGACCTTTATAATCTAATCTTACTTATTCCATCTACTAATCAGTACAAACCATCTCACCCCACAAACTATGTAATTGGTCATTTTCTAACCTTCACTGATGCTATTTCTATCTGCAAGTCCTTTCCTTACTTGTCAACTTAGTTAAATCCTACCCCACAGCCTTCCTGGTATACTTCAATACTATGCAGTTCACCCATTTCTCACCTCCCCATTTCTCTTATTTTCACTGTGTAATTTTGCACACTATTCTATTTCACATGTACTATTCTTGCCTCAAGTAGAAAAACTCAGAAACTCTGTAAGATAGTACAGTCAAGACAAATTTATTTTACAAACCTCACCTATCATTAGTGTTAGCCAAGTAGATAGCTAAGGCTCACTTCTGCAAATAGGCAAGTAATTTCCTCTTCTAACATAAATTTGTTTTCCCTAAATTTTAATATAAAAAATGTATTTTATAACTACAAGGATAATACCAAAAGCACTAGGGTTATTTCAGAATGCAGTTCTTATTTGTTTATTTCTCTAGCCCCTAAATAAAAACACATGCCAGGCTGGTACTCACTTGATACTGTCTGCACAACCGAAGTAGCAGTTGTTGTGGTAGAAGTGGTAGAGGATGGGGTGGATGATGACGTTGAAGTAGACACTGCAGGTGCTGGGCTACTGGTCGTAGGGGTAGAAGCTCCTACAGCTTGTGCTTGCACTTGTGCCTGAGCCTGAGCCTGGGCCTGGGCCTGAGCCTGGGCCTGGGCCTGGGCCTGGGCCTGAGCCTGAGCCTGGGCCTGAGCCTGGGCCTGGGCCTGCGCCTGCGCCTGGGCCTGGGCCTGCGCCTGGGCCTGGGCCTGAGCCTGGGCCTGCGCCTGCGCCTGGGCCTGGGCCTGAGCCTGGGCCTGAACCTGTGCTTGGGCTGCAAGCATAGGTGTCAGTTCTGACTGCTGAATAACCTTAACTCCATCTGGTTTGGTCCATGCAGATTCACGAGTCCGAGCATTGTAATAATAAACCTGCAGAGGAAGCAGAGTGGTGTTGCAGAAGCCATCAACCATTCCTGAAGATAATGCAACTGTATTTTGTGTTTAAAAAGGTAATTAAAAATAACTTTTCAGGGAAGTAGTAGTATCTCAACATAGGTTATTCATATATTACAGATTACAGGTAATTCCACCAATTTTTCAGGGTAAAAACACTGCATTTTTAACATACACAAAAAAGAAAAACCAATGCTTTATTCTGTTCTGAAAGTTAACTTAGCAGGTATGACACTGCTATCCTTATAAAGTCCTGCTTACAAAGCTGCCCTTGGCTAGAGTCTGAGAACCTGAATTTCCAGAGGGTACCACCATTTCCTCACCCTAAGATAACCCACCATGCCTAAACTATTTATGCAAAAACTGCCATTCACGCTGAACTTCTGCTTTCCTTCAAGGAGTGTGGAGAGTCTTGTACGTGGTAAACATGGTACCTGTACAACCCTCCAACAAAAGACGCCTGAACTCAGGTGAGCTTCCTTGCAGGAAACACTTCACATGTATTCTCACCATTCTATACCGAAGAAGTTAAGAACATCCTATGTGATTCCTCTGGGACAGGACTCTTCAAAGATTGTGCCTGTTTTTCTCCATTACTTCGCCTTGTGCACCTTCTTCCCTTTGCTGGTTTTGCTCTACATCCGTTTAGTGTAATCAGTCTTATGATTATACTTCTACTTCTTGTAGAAGAAATCTTTTTAATCCGTTTAGTGTAATCAGTGTATGAGCCTAACTGCCTTGCCCTGTAGCACATCATCGAACTCGGGAATAGTCCTGAGAACGGATGACACATCATAAAATTTAAGCTTCAGAATCACAGGTAAGTAAACGTATACCAGTACTTCCAGAAGCCTTACAACTGCACAGAAATCTAATCCAGTCAGCTTTTCCTGAAGTCTCACCCTCTCCGCTGCTTAAAACTCAGACTCATTCTTGATTGACAAGAACACTGTTGTTAATCTCAATTTGCCAGAACTCTTTCATTTCACTGCTATCAGGAAAATAACAAGCTTTACGTTTTACAATTTACCTTCCCATCTGGAGTTTTATTTTCAACCCATATCTCCTCAGCAGGAGGCAGCGCTGGAGTACCAGGAGCAGTCACAGGAGGCATTCCTGGAGGAAACATCATCCCCGGAGGTGGAGGCATGGTTCCCATGGGTGGAGGCATGAAAGGTGGCCTCTGTTAATTCACAAGAAGAGTGACAGTCACTTGGAATTACTTTTTTTCTTCAAATTATTACTGAATTACACCCAAAAGTAAAGTACTAGAAGAGAAAATAATTCTACAGTCTATTCAAATACATCATCTGCAGTGTAAGCAAAGCTTCTCTCTAGTAAAAATGATTACTAAGCATACTAATAAAAAAGGAAAGAAATACATCAAAACCGAACACTGGCAAACTCTGGGTGAATTCTGTGTTTTTCTCTATACATTATCTGCATTTTTTTTCCGTACACTGGGTAGTAGACTACTTTTAAAAGAAAAAAAATTGGATCCTCTTTTAGAACCACATGGTCAGTGTCTTATGGCTGGCTCATCCAGAATAGATACTAGTAGTAAGAAAAGTATTTTACAACACACAGCAATAACCAAAACAGAAGATCATATGTACCTAATTCTTTGATCTCCTTTCCCACAAGGAAAATACTAGCCAGAAAAACATTCACTCTATGCTACTTTTCATGAAATAGTAACAAAGCTCATCAAATATATGAACATCAATAAGGTTTAAAAATACAATAAAAGCTGGGTGTGGTGGTACACACCTGTAATCCCAGCACTTGGGAGGGTGAGGCAGGAGGATCATTGCAAGTTCGAGGCCAGCCTGGCCTACAAGGTGAGCTCAAGGCCAGTCTGAACTGCATAGCGAGACCCCGTCTCAAAATGACAAAAATAAAGATAAAACATATACCGAATCTGTGGCTGGGATTTTGTTACTGTTGTTTTTTTTGTTTGTTTGTTTGTTTGGGGTGTTTTTTTGGTACTGGGGATTAACCCCAGGGGTGCTCTACCACTGAGTTACTCCCCCAGCACCTCCTTTATTTTGAGATAGAGCCTCACTTAGCTGCCCAGGCGGGCCTCTCCAAATTTTTTTTTTAACTTTTTTTTTGAGACAGCTATGTAGTCCAGGCTGGTCTTGAACATAAGGTAATCCTACTGCCTCAGCCCCCCTAGTGCTAGGATTATAGGCATGCACCACCACGCCCAGCTAGGCCTCTCCAACCTGGGATCCTTCTGTCTCAGCCTCCAGAGTAGCTGGTATTACAGGTATGTGCCACTATGCCAGGCTCCCAATAGCTTTAATACAAGGATCTTTCAAGTCTTCATTGTGCACAAAAATGAGTTTTGAAATTAAAAATATAATAAATACTGGGCTTAATATTTTAAAAACAGATCTAAAACTGTGATTAAAAAGATTTCTTCTACAACCTGTAAATAATACTAAAATTCAGTTATCCAGGGCTGGGGATCTATCTCAGGGGCATAAGCGCCTACCTAGCAAGTACGAGGTCCTGAGTTTGACTCCCAATAAGAAAAAAAAAAAAAAAAAAAAAGAAATAAAATTCAGTTATTCAAAATATACTTACACTGAAAAAAGGAAACATGTTAATAATGTAAAAGTATACCCCACATTCCTAAAAATTATTTTCTTTTCCATACTTTTTTGTATGGGGTCAGTTTTGTGTCTTTCAAGTATCAGCCAGAGACTTGCATTATATAAAGTATCTACCCCACTATCTCATGCGACCTTAACACGAAATCAGTTCGGTTCAATATGAAACTGCACAATTACCCATCCAGACCAAGAAAAGCATCACAATAGTACTGCATCTCACCATTTGATACATTTCCACTAAGGGTTACATCAGTCCACTGTGTTTTACAGTATTCCACACTAGGTTTAGCTCTTAAAGCACAAGTAAGAACAAATTCTCGTGTACTAAATTTCCAGAGTCACTAAGTCAAAAAGCTGCATTTTTCTTCTAATCTTGCATCAAATATATATACACATTCCTTAAAAAGTACACTATCATCTCCCCTACTTTTAGTGTAGCTCATTCTTGATTAAGCTACCGAAAAGGAGATGATAATATGTATTTACTTGGGGTTTTTTTTGGTTTTTTTTTATACCCACAATTGAACTCAGGACCTTGTGCTTGCCAGGCAGGCACTTGTGCCACTGAGCTATATCCCTGGCAATACGTATTTACTTAAGTTTTATAAAAGCACAAACTAAAGAAGAAAACAAATATACATTCAAACAAAAAGAACACAATCCCAAAACCTGACATGTGAGAGTTGATACTTCTATGACCTTAAATCACACAATGAATAAGTCTAGATACACTGGAAAGGGATATAAGCCTCAGGTTAAAATATCATCAATGTTTTTATTTAAACAAATCTCATAAGAAATCTTCCTCTAGAATAGTAAAAAAAAAAAAACAAACCAAAAACTTCAGTAGAGATAAAAACATTCAAATATTGGACTACATGTATTTGTATAATTACTGGCACTACAAAATCATTGAACATAAATTTTATACAATCGTTACCTTAAGATTTCAACTTCATTTCCCATAAAGACAGGTTACTAAAAAACAATTAAAGCTAGGTATTGTGGTGCACGCCTGTCATCCCAGCCCTTGAGAGGCTGAGGCAAGAGGACTGCCCTGAGTTTGAGGTCAGCCTGGGCTACATAGTGAGTTCAAGGCCACCCTGAACTACAAAGCAAGACCCTGACCCTCTAAAAACCAAAAATAAACAAACAAGTCACAGCACTAACAAAGTTAAGAATTAACTCTGTTCAATCTTCAATTTATATGTACATTTTTCTATTATCATCTAAACTCCTAAATTTATATGCTGATTACTGCTACCACTACATATACCTCATTTGTGCACTGTTCTATAAATTGAAACTTTAAAAAAGCAAAATGTAAGGCCAAATTCATGTATATTTTCATTCTGATGCCAGCAAAGAAATGGTAACTTTTATATCCTTACCTGGAGGTGCGGAGGGCCCATAGGCGGAGGAATCCCTCCTGGAGGAGGCATTGGTGGCATATTAGGATCAAAAGGAGGACGTCCAAAAGGGGGCCGAGGGGGCGGTGGAGGGCCTCGCATCATACCAAAAGGGGGAGGTGGTCGCATGAGAGGTGGAGGGCCTCGCATCACTGCATTCGGTGGGGGAGCAGGGCCTCGGAACCTCAAGGCCTGCTGTTGTGCCATCCTACGTGAAAAGCAAAGAACACATTTCCCTCAGATTTACAAAAAAAGAAGAGGAGGAGGAGGAAGAGGAAGAGGAAGAGGAGGAGGAGGAGAGTGTAGCTGCCAACTTTTAATTACATCAAATATGAAAGGCCCTTAAGTGAAACTGAAGTTGGAAAGCCATTATTTGCAACCGCCACCACTCTGTAACCCTCACGGTACAAACCACCAGTGAGAACATCCACGTGATGCCAAGTCCAGGAGGAAATGTGCGTGAGAGATGTGCAGGTGATCTGTGTCTGCCCCCATGCTAATTACAGTCACAAAGCAGGACGAAAAACACTTTAGGGAAATTAGGTAATACCTTGACCAGCTGATCAAAATTATTATCACCTAAGGGAAGACAAGTAGTAACCTGTGACTAAGAGGACATACAGTGTCACCTGCTCCAGCCAAGAATGTACAACCTTAATTCCTTAATTAGAAATGTTCTACTAAAGGGGTCATTTAAAATATCAATGTTTTCCAGAAAAAGCTAACAAAGGTTGTAGAAGTGTTCCAGATTAAAGAAGCCTAAAAAGACATGACAACACAATATTAATCTAGCCTGCATGCTATGCCAAAGGGAAGAAATTTCATGAAAAAAGTATTGGATCAATTCGCCATAAAGTATCCTATCATTATAAATTTATGAAGCTGATTATGAAGCTATGGTTAAGTAAAAGAATGAACACCGAGGGGATGGCGGGGAGGCTCGGCGGGAAAGCACTTACTTGCTCAGTATGTACAAGGCCCTAGGTTCAATTCAGAAAAGAGGGAGGGAGAGAGGAAAAGAAGTACAAAATGAATACACAGGAATAAATAAGGACTACAAATATATTTATCACCCACAAATGATTTAGGATAAAAAAGAACATGCTAAGCCAGGCATGGTGGCGCACACCTGTAATCCCAGCACTCGGGAGGCTGAGGCAGGAGGATTGCTGCAAGTTCAAGGCCAGCCTGGGCTACAAAGCGAGTTGAAGGCCAGCCTGAACTGCAGAGTGAGACCTTGTCTCAAAAAGACAAAAAAAGAACATGCTTGCATGCAAACAAAAAAATCAGAAGAGGTAAAATATTAACGTTCTGCACTTTTTATAAGTGGGAAATTATTCCAAATCCCAAGTTTAAATGGGGTGAATATGGCTTGCGAGGTCAATGGTCTTCTCCATCTAAAGAGAAAGGGAAAGCCTATCCCTTCACAATACTGCATCTCTCCCTCTCTAAACACCCTAATGGAGCCGGGCGTGGTGGTGCGTGCCTGTTATCCCAGCACTTGGGAGGCTGAGGCAGGAGGACCCTTGCAAGTGTGAGACCAGCCTACAGTGAGTTCAAGACCAGCCTGAACTGCATAGCGAGAACCTGTCTCAAAAAGGCAAAATAAAGTAAAATAAAATAAAATAAGCATCCTAATGTATTTTTCTATGGCATTTAAACAAATAAACAGTACCATTTAACAGTATTATTTCTCTTTTCCAAGTGCTTTAAAAAATTATTAACCTTTCAAAGTGTTAACTATGTGCCAGGCAGTGCTCTAAAGTCTTTCCACTCAGTCACCACAAAAACCCTATAAGACAGATACAATAACGTCCTCGCTTTATAGCTAAGGAATTAGGGCACAAGAGTTAAATAACTCGCCCATGGCCAACAAATGATTCAGTGGTAAAACCCATGTTTCAAATACAGGCAAAGGGCTCCTGTTAAACTCTATGTTGGCCCCTTTAGAGTAGAAATTCTGTTCACTCTTGCATCCCCAGCACACAGGTAGGTCTGGACACAGACCTCAATAAATCCTCTTTCTTGAACCAATACCTAGGTGATGTTGTAGGCTAAGCTTACAAGGAGACTATGTAGAATCCTCTAATAATTACTTTTTCCTACAGGCAGGCACACTGGCATGTTTGTAATTTCAGCAACTTGGGAGGCTGAGGCAGGAAGATGGCAAGTTAGGTCAGCTTGGGCAACACAAAAACCTGCCTTAAAAAAATAATAATAATTTTTTTTAACTAGAATTTGCCATTGCCCATCTACGAGCATCTATCATGGTCTTCCCAATAGCTAATATAAAGCTCTACATTATACACACAATCCACATTTCTGTATTCAAGAGAAGATGAATGAATATCTCCATGCATATTTGAAAATAATCACTTTTATAAGCTCTCAACAGATTGGATTCTTGTATAACTTTCCCCCAGTTTTCAAAACTCTGCTTATGATTACCCTTTGAGCTTCCTCTATATTTGCAACATCAGAAGTCTGACACACAAAAAAGCCCTAAGAACCAATCTGCCTTTTAGCACAACAGGACAGTCAGCAAGTCCAGAACTACCAGACCAAGTGTGTTTAACCAGACCTACAAACGACCCTATGCTCAAAGGTCAGAAAAGGAGTCAAAAGCACTGACTGCAATAAGGATTATGAATTGTATCAAAATAGCCAGAAGGTCTTTTTCAAACTATATACAAAAAACCGAAAGCCACTGTTACTTAAGGTATGTACTTAAGGTATGTTTTAAATTTTAGAACGACAAAAGTTAACCACCACAGAAAGATGCTCTTTCAGCACTGAAACAGTACCTTAATCCTAGATTTTCTTTCAGTCTGCCTCGTTCTCGAAAAATCTACAATACATGAATTTCTTTTTTTAGAATTTCATACTTCCTGCTTATAGCTTAAAGTTAAACATTTAGGCTTGACTCAAGAAAAAGTACTATCAGGGCCCTGCCTTTTGTTATCAAACTAGTTCCACTAATTTCTGAGTCTGTGTTTCCTCAGATGTGGGGAACAGAAATAAAAACTACCTCACAGCTCTGTTCAATGAGATAATCCCTGTGAAACTGCAAGCTAGTATGCAGTAACTTGTACTTGAATTAAAGTACCATTACTTTAATTACAAAACCTAACAGTGCTTTACCTGTAAAAGGAACTTAGCTATTAACTAGATGGTTTTCAAGTCCGCCACTAGAATGACGATGAAATTCACATAAATTCTCTTCAAAAGTGTGAGCTGCCATCATCAATTATGTGTGTGGCATGTACTGTGCTCTTTATGTGCAGTACACTGCTTCGCCAGAGCAATCACACCAGAGCCTGCAGTGAGGGTTAAATGAGTCAGTGAAGTAAAATACTTGAAACAACAACACCTAATGGGATGTGAGTATTAGTTACTATTACTATTACAACATAAGAATGGTAATAGTATTGGCAAATATTGGTATCTTATTAGTAACAGTGTTAGTTTTTATTATTGCCTGGCTAACTACATATTATCAGGCCCCGTAATCTGGCCCTTGTGGAGCCTTCCACTCATCTTTCTGATCATCCAAAAAAAAAAAATTTTTTTTGGCAGTACCAGTGATTGAAGCCACAGATTTCAGGCTGAGCTACAGCCCATACACTTTTATTTTGATACAGGGTCTTGCTGAAGTGCCTGGGCTGGGCTCCAACTTTCAACCTTCCAGCCTCAGCTTCCCAGTGCTCTGAAGTTACAGGCACCACCACCACACCCGCGGTTCATCCCCTGCAGTCACGATGCACGCATTTCCCTCTACCTTGCATGCTCTTTTTCAGATCTTTACATGAATGGCTAGTTATTACTCAGCCTCAGTTCAAAAGTTACCTCAAATTCCTCCTCACCTCTAGCCTCACACAACCCCTTTGTCTCATTAACCAGCTTGAGTTTTCACTTAGACAAATGCTCTGAAGAAATTCCTGACTTATCTGCTTAACTTTAACTTTATCCTAGTACGCAGTTCCCTTTAGCACAATGCCATACTATACTGCTGTGTAATTATATAGTATGGTCCTTCTCATTTACCAGGCACAGTTATATGGGCATCGCCTGTGCTAACTTTCTTAATCCTCATAGTAACCCATGGAGGTAAGGTCAGCACCTTTTCACAGGTGAAAAATTAAGTCATTAAGGGAGCGAGCTATTCAGCAGTAACACCACAGTACTCTCATTCTCTGTTTTTATAGATGAGGAAATTTAGATTTAAAGTACCCTGTTGTAAGTATTGAGATAGAACCAAGGTAAAAGATTATCTATAAAGCCGGGTGTGATGGAACACGCCTGTAATGCCAGCACTCAGGAGGATGAGGCAGGAGAACTGCTGTGAATTCGAGGTCAGCCTGGGCTACAAAGTGAGTTGAAGGCCAGCCTGCACTGCATAGCAAGACCCTATCTCAAAAAGACACACACACAAAAAAAATTATCTATATACACATGCCTCTAAAAGTTACTTTAGTGGTCCTCAAACATAAAAAGATTAACAGCATTTGGACCTCTGGATTTTCCATCTACTGTAGGCAAGTTATATTCCCACAACTTTCAACACTGTGGAAAACATAAGCCCACTTGTACGAACAGAAACAAAAAGATTTTCACAAGAACACCACGGAAATACAAATATATTTATCTAGAAATACCCAAATAACCAGTCTCATCAATAGTGAAGACAAGACTGCAAATATTTTGAAGGGACAAGAATGTAAAGATGCTACTTACATATGGGAGGCAATTTATGGAAACAACTAAGTTGCAGTTCAGCCCTTGAGAACTATCCACTTACACAAGTACTTGCTTACTTCACACTTGAAGTTTAACTTACTTCACACTTGAAGGCTGATTCCCCTGCTCGGCAGGGGTGCTTTAGTTTAGAATTGTGATGAACCTTAACTAAAACAAGCTCCTTGAGGACAAGGCCTCTTTTGCGCTGGTTCAAGACTTCAGGGCCAGAACCTACTGTCACACACAACAAATGCTGCTCCCTACGTGAATCATCTCTAAATCTCCCACCTTCATTTACCTTACCATGTATCTTCTGAACATCTTACATGCCACATATACCTATGATACAAACACAAAACTAAGCCCCAACTTCTGCCGTCGAAGCAGCTACATAAATAGCTGTTACCACAGATCAAGAGAAATGCTTAGCCAGCCTGAACTGCATAGCCAGACCTTGTTTCAAAAAGACCAAGAAAAAAAAGGATTATATGAGCCCGTTGGAAATATTTCATACTTTCGCTTCTTGGGTTAGAAGTTGCTTGGAGAGCAAGTTTTATTTTAAGCGTTTCTCTTTTTTTTTTTTTTTTTTTTTTTTTTTTTTGAGACAGGGTCTCGCTATGCAGTTCAGGCTGGCCTTGAGCTCATTTTGTAGCCCAGGCTGGCCTCGAACTCACAATGATCCTCCTGCCTCAGCCTCCTGAGTGCTGGGATTACAGGCCTGCGCCACCATGCCCGGCCAGACTCATATAATCTAAAACCTAAAATCAGCTTTTGCAACAATGTCTAAACCACAAATAAATTCTATAAGGCTTTTTATATAAGCCTGAAGATACTTTCTGAAATGCAAGCTGTTCCCTGAGAAAGCCATCTAGACTAAGTAAGCTTTTGTCATCAGAATCAATAATAAACGTTCCGCTGGGCGTGGTGGCACCCGCCTGTAATTCCAGCACTCTGGAGGCTGAGGCAGGGGGATTGTTGTGAATTCGAGGCCAGCCTAGGCTACAAAGTGAGCTCAACGATAGCCTGAACTGCAGAGCAAGACCCTGTGTCAAAAAGCCAAAAAAAAAAATAAATAAACTTCCCATCACTAATACTGAATGACTCTGACAATACACAGCCTGACCACTCCTTATCAGCGCACCCACGGGGATAAAAGCTGAGCTTCCTCTGTGACATAAGACAAACTTATTCCTCTCAAAATGGGGATTTTCGAGTGGGACACTTAGGAATCTGACACTGTTTTCTTCCAAACCATAACAACATTCATTTTCTTACACAAGTTCATCTTACATTCTAGACAATACGGGAGTCCTCGTAATTTACGCTGCTGTTTTTCCCCTTCACATGCTGAGAATGGCACAATTCAGAACGAGAACTGAGGATCTGAAACGATTATTTTGTTTTCCCACACCGGGGGTTAAAAACGTAACCTAGACGAAGCACGGTATCTCTTTTTTCCTCGAAAACCACCCATAAAGGGAAAATTGTAAAGGTCACTCGCATTTTATTCTCCTGTAATTACGGATCCCACCGGCCGCAGGCTCCAGGGGAAGGAAGGAAGGAAGGTCACAACGCTCTCCGGGCCATGGCGTGCGGCGGCGATCAGCAGGCCGGCGGGGATCGCAGGCTCCGGGGCGGGCGGCCGGGCGCCCTCCGCTGCCCCGAGCGCCGCGGGAGGCTGCCCGCCCGCTGCACGACGGGCCCGGAACTTATTCCGGACGCCTCGGCTGCGCGGCCTGCAAAGCGAGAACCCGATGCCGCGGAGCGGGTGAGAAGCTAGCGCGAGCCCCGAGCACGGCGCTGATCCGCACGCCCGCGGCCGGCGTCCCCCGCGGCCGTAACGCGGCGAGGAGCGGAGACGGGCCGCGAGGGGGGCAAGCG